TGTGTGTGAGGGTCTTTGCTTCATTAATGTTGGTCTGCAGCTCTGCAGTGTGTCAGATGTGAGATGTTGTTGTGCTGGTTGTTAAAGGCCTCAGTCCTCCATCAGTCCTCCATCAGTCCTTCATCAGTCCTCCGTCAGTCCTCCATCAGTCCTCCATCAGTCCTCCATCAGTCCTCCATCAGTCCTCCATCAGTCCTTCATCAGTCCTCCGTCAGTCCTCCATCAGTCCTCCATCAGTCCTCCATCAGTCCTCCGTCAGTCCTCCGTCAGTCCTCCGTCAGTCCTCCATCAGTCCTCCATCAGTCCTCCATCATTCCTCCATCAGTCCTCCGTCAGTCCTCCGTCAGTCCTCCATCAGTCCTCCATCAGTCCTCCATCATTCCTCCATCAGTCCTCCGTCAGTCCTCCGTCAGTCCTCCATCAGTCCTCCATCAGTCCTCCATCATTCCTCCATCAGTCCTCCGTCAGTCCTCCATCAGTCCTCCATCAGTCCTCCATCAGTCCTCCATCATTCCTCCATCAGTCCTCCGTCAGTCCTCCGTCAGTCCTCCATCAGTCCTCCATCAGTCCTCCATCATTCCTCCATCAGTCCTCCGTCAGTCCTCCGTCAGTCCTCCATCAGTCCTCCATCAGTCCTCCATCATTCCTCCATCAGTCCTCCGTCAGTCCTCCGTCAGTCCTCCATCAGTCCTCCATCAGTCCTCCATCATTCCTCCATCAGTCCTCCGTCAGTCCTCCGTCAGTCCTCCATCAGTCCTCCATCAGTCCTCCATCATTCCTCCATCAGTCCTCCGTCAGTCCTCCATCAGTCCTCCGTCACAGTGCTTCAGTATTCCTCTTCTTCTTCTATTGTTATTCCCTCCAGAACTGTCTTGAGCATCTGTCTGCTCTCACTCCTCCAGAAGCCAGCACATTCACCGTGTTCATCGCCACAGTGCAGCAGACTCCGCTCCTCTCAGAGAGATCTGTGCAGGAGCTGAGGAGCTGAGGAGGAGATGCTCTGCTGTGATGGAGACGCTGCTCTCCTCACTGCTGATCAGGGCGGTATTACAGTGTTGACTGGAAACACAGCTGCTGTCAGTGTTAGTTCAGTGACACACTGCTCATACTGTGTGGATCTGGCAGCACAGAGGATCCTCAGCGCCCTCTACTGCTGCGGTGAGACGTGAATCTGGTGACATAAGTCTGAATCATTCATCATTCACAGAAAATGTATTCGTGAGCATGAAATATTGACAGAGGCCTGAACCCCACGATATGACATCTTCATGCACACAAAGCCTCCCGTCAGCAGCGCATTACCGGCTCTTCATCACGCCTGGGGGAATAACACACACACACTGTGCGCAGATGTGGAGATGGACTTCAGTGAAGGGGCTGTACCAGACAGAAGCACACTCAGCAGTGATATGCAGCAGGCGTGTGGGACAGGACATGTTCATGTGTATTTTAGCCTGAACACGTCTCCTGCTGTTCACCCATGAGCTGTGAGCTCTGTTGGAATATCTATCTCTATTCCATGCGTGTTCAAGAGAAAAGGTCAGGAGAGGTTTTTCTTCAATGTCAAAAATCGTAACAATTTATTGGATACAAATGAATAATTGGATGACAGAGCTCTGGGTTACATTACCCCAATGCAATACAAGAATAACATTCAAGAGGTTCGCAACTCACATACATTTCCTGACTTCAGCATATATACACCACGCATCTTAACAGGTGGAGTTTTGGTGTAACGTCACTTGTCAGTCATTGTTCAGTCCTCCATTGGCCGCCCCTTCGGCATACTTCCTCTTTTTCTATGAATTCTCTGCCCAACAACAAAGTATACATCTTTCTGTGTTCTGTGTTCAGTTTTAACACCTCTATTCAGACAGGAAGTATCTGCAGAGCTGAATTTAATTTTGGACCCGCATCTATCTACTTCTGCAAAAATGCTAATTAGTATGCACAGCACTCACCCACAACAGTAGAAGTTCAGTTAATATATGACCCTTACATGACCAATACAAATAATTGTTTGATTAAAGAAACAGAGACAAAAATAATAAAAAACTGATTGCTATTTTACCACACTCTTATTGTGATGGTGCTGTTGTGTCCTGAGGTTCATCTGTCTGACTGGGAGTGATCGCTGTGTGTTTCTGACCGTACACTATCATTAAAGAGACATGAGGAGGACATGTCAGTCTGCAGCACTCACCCATTCTCCTTCAGCTTAGGCTTTATTAATCAGGGGTCGCCACAGCAGGATGAACCACCAACTATTCCAGCATATGTTTTACACAGCGTGCGCTCTCTCTCCTACACCCCACTCGTGGGAAAAAAACACACACACACACACACACACACACACACACACACACACACACACACACACA